TGGGTTTGGCAGCAGGTTTGGGTTCAGGTTTTGCCGAAGCCATGGCAACAGCCAAGATGGTGGTAAAGACAAACTGGAACGGAATCACATGATCAAATATAGGTTGGTAGGACATGAATCTTCTTTATCTTCAACTATGAAGTCATTCAGTCATTAATATCTCGATTTTTAACATTTAATGACAGACATTAGACATCCCATCGTCTTGTCAAATTCAACTAGGTAGGTATTCGTTCTACTGGCTCTACTAAAGCACACCAATATAATACTGTTGCGAAATACACGCTTATTCAAAAGACTCACCTTACATGGTTCTCATAGTTTTGATCACCTTGATTCTACAAATACACGGAAGATGAGAATTCACTGTTTTTCATCCTCAATAGTGACTACCATCATGAGTAACCATGACCATAAAATAGGACTTGACACTTGACAGTTGTAGGTTGGCTCACACTTATGTGCGGGCTATTGGAATATATTAGTACAGACCAATCAGAACCATGGAACTTCATTGTTGATAACTAGTGTCTAGAGACAATTAATCATCGCGGTGAGGGAATGCTACAGCGGAAGCAAGTTAATGTATAATCTGCAATAGTATGATTCATTTTACAACTACAAAGTGAAATGCCATATAATACCTGGTAAGATTGACTAATGATTAATAAAAGTTAGATCCAACATTGTTTATCATATTTTCACAATCAAAATTATTGAATTTCGGTCTATAAGTTTTCGATGAAATCAATGAGTATTTCAAATCAGATTTGGTGATTTTGCAATATAATAAACATCATTATTTCCAAAGATATATTTCTGAACTCTCAGAGTTGCTTTGATATTTGAATAGTTGTAGATAAAGTATAATATTCTACTCGCACATAATGACTATTACTCACTCATTATGCGCTCGTTGAATAATATACTATTACCACAGTTTAAGGAAATTACTTATTTATAAACTCAGATGCTACTACGAAGTCCAGTTTTCAGAATAATTTGGTTCAGAAGCTGTAGAATTAATGTTCGATGAATGATTATTTCTGTATTTCCATGAATGAAAGAGTTCGTCATCAAATTGTCATGGTTTTATGAATCAATAACATATCCAATATTAATATTATCGTAAGTATTTATGAATGATTATTCTTACCAATTTGAACATATTTATGCTGCAGTTGATTCACTTAAGAATGAATTAATGTCGTCTTAACAATTGCTTGCCATTTTTATACCTATCGAAGCCCAGAAATTCACAAATTTTCCTCCCACTAAAGGCATCAGGTGTTTATGATGAAAATATTTTGTATGTCAATGTAAGTGCGAGGTCTCAAGAGGTCTCGATTTGATGTACTAGTTCAATGAAATAGTCATATAACTCTTCGTTAGGATGTTGTTCTTACGTTCCTTGAATACATAACGAAAAGTGCTAGAATTTCAATTGTTATTTCGTGATTCCCTCACAATTTTATCTTGTTTCATGGTAATAATTTAATCAAATTCAGTGGATTATTGGTTCATATTGTCCCAATTATGAAAACAAGATTCGTGAATTAGGTAGGTGAATGACGGATAGAACAATTTTAGGTAAAGATTTTAACAAAATGTGAAAACAGTTGAAAGATTTTCAAATCAAAAAATCACAACGATACTAAGCAAATGGTAAACATGTTTTTTCTCGAAGAAACAAATTTTTACTCAACATTTGAGATGAAAACATTTCTCAAAACACCTTTCTGAAACTTTCGTAGTATTTTTTCGATGTAGAAGATAAAATAAACATTCAACAATATTTTCCTAAAAAGTGAATCAGAAAAGTTTGGAATCATACCATCGACCAGGAGAAAATTATATGTAAAAAGTTACTCTAAGTGGTAAGGATAAAGATTATTTCATAGCAGGTTAGGGTGCCCTTGAATCTACATTCTCATTTAGTTTGACGTGGTTCTCACAGATCACTCTATATATTATGAAATTGATTGAATGATTTTATTTTCCTCCAAATGACATTGATAGTGTACTTTCTCACGCCGGCGGAAGTAGAAGTTAGTTTCTCTGGTAACAAAGGAGGGGCAGAAGTCTCGTATTATTCCCTATAGGGAGATAATGTGACATATTGTCTCCCTAGGGAGTTCATACCATCTTTTCATTTTCCGCATAGCTCTGCTTCTTTTCGTAACACCCTTCTCTGAAGCGAGTATGAGCACGATATTCTTTGAACATTATAGGGATTCCCTGTCGTGCGCTCCAAGCGATAAAAAAAATACAGATCTCTAGATCTCACTGGTAACAATTTAAGAATCACTGCAGAAGCAGAGTATATCAATAGTTTTTTGGGGTTTTTCCTCAATTTCTTGTTCCATAACCGTTATAACCATTTTCGAAGCTGTTTGCATAAATTTCAGTTCGATATTTGCAGGCTGTTATCATGGGTTGTCAACAAGATGAATGTTGTCAAAATACGAATTCCAAAAACTATTCTATTACTAATTATGACAAAACACTTCGACCAAATTTTTACTCTTTCTTAATTTTTGTGTTTTCGCCAGCTTAAAAAAGGTATATACACCTCAGGATAGAATGCTATTTTTCTCTCGGTGCTTTGTAACTGTCGAGCTTCGCCCTAGAAATCGCACCTTGGAAAGAATCTTGCATTTCTGTCCCTTCATGAATAATCTACTATTACTGCACAGGCAGAAAAAGTTTGTTGCTATGCAACGTTTCATCTAATAAATTGTGAACACAAAATGATTTGGACTTTGCGTGAAATTGGAACGAATAACTTGATAACAAATTTCATTAAATTCACTTTCATTTTTTATAAAATCAGCTCCATCATATTCATTCACCTATACTGTGATCAGTTTCATAAAATCAATTAATTCAAAGATTATATTATGCAATTAATGTGCTCAAACCAGAATGGTTAATGAATAAATCTATTTAACATTCAAGACACTACTTAGCCATGGGTTAACATCAGTGTTCACGATTTTGCATTACGTTACATTGCTCTGAATTAGTCACCACATACCATTGATTCCTTCTACTTAGCTAACTCAAATTGTATAAAATACTGATGTACAAGTGACTACGATATCAGTTCTTCTCCAACCTCCAACAACAATGTTCAAATTTGTGAGTGTTCAACATAATATCAGCATTGAAATATAATGAAAGAAAAGTATTCTCTTGATCAATCCTCACATCTCAAATTCAATTCTATTCGATTATTTTCGTGACTAACTATTTATCTGGATATTCTTGTTTCAGTTCTTCGTAGCTGCCCTTTTGGCTTTCGCCTCTGCTACACCTGCTCCAGCTCCTGAGGCTAAGCCTGAAGCAAACCCGGATCCAAGTCTCATTGCTGCTGCTTATACTGCCCCACTCCTTGCTGCTCCTGGTATTGCATATACTTCAGCCTACAGCGCTCCATTGACCTACCCCGGTTATGTAGCCCCTTCAGTTTATGCTGCAGGATACCCGATTTACTCCCCTTACACTGCTCCTTATGTAGTTGTTTGATACCAAAGTCCTAATGCACGAAATAAATTATTGAGTTATTGTTGAAGGAAATATTGTTGTGATTTTTATTTATCTCTTGTTTGACGGAACCTGCATTCCTATCGAATTCATTTTCATCTTCATGGATTTCAAGAAGGTAATGGTAAATAATATATAAGGTAGGAAGGGTCATTATTCCTAAATTTTTGAAAATAGGACGACATGTGTCTCTATAATCTGCATTAGCAATTATCCTAACTGCTTTTTTTCGAAGCTTGAAAAATCTATCAGAAGTTGAGGAGTTTCCCCACAAAACAATATCATACCTGAGATGCGAATTGAAAAATGCGTGATATGCTGTCAATAGAATCTTAAAACTTACTGTAGATCTCAACTGTTGAAAATTTTTAAACATAAGTCATCAATATGATTGTGCCAGTTCAGGTTATCATCTATTGTGATTCCTAGTAGATTTACTTCATCAGCTTTTTCAATTTTACTGTTGGATGAGAAAATTCTGAGTTTTGTCTCTGTTGAGTTTCAAGAGATTTCCAGTGAACCATTTTTCTGCCTGGTTTCCTACATATTTCATGGATGTAATTAAGTTTTGACAGTTTTTGTCAGAGCATATTAGCGTACTATCATCTGCATAAACTACACATTTGTTTGGTAACATATGATAGAAGGAATCATTGATGTAAATGATGAGAAGGAGAGGCCCCAGAACAGAGCCTTGTGGTACTCCAGATTTCATCACCTCAAATCCAGATGCTTCGTTGCTGTTAAGGCAAACGTAATGCGTTCGATTATGAAGGTAAGACTGGAAGAGAGAAAGTGCAATTCCTCTGATACCATAATCACAAAGTATTTTCAAGAGGATATCGTGAGAGACGCAGTCAAAGGCTTTGGTCAGGTCGCAGAGAGTGACTGCAGTTAGCTGCTCCTTCTCGAAACCAGGGGCTGTCATTGCTTGAAATTTGACATTCCATGAGCGATGAGATTTTTTTGAAATAATTACACAATGGAGTCATTGTGATATCAGATACGGAAATAAAATTGATGACATAACGACAAAGTATTGATGTATCGAACACAGTAAAACAAGATCAATTTTGTGTTATAGCCGTAGAAAAAATATCATGATAGTATACTCTTAATTCAGAAAATTAACTGAGTAACCATGGTAACGTCGATTCCATCAATGATATTCTTCACTGCATCCATGTTGTATTTCTATCGTTCTTGAGAGGTGGAGATTCACAATTTTGTATTATAGCCGTAGAAAAACTATATTCCTTGCATATTCTACAATTGAGAAAAGTGATTGGACATTTCTCTTGAAATAGTTGTTAAATCTTATCTCTGTTGGTTTGAATTTTCAATTACATTACATTCCTGCAATTATCGTTCATGATGTTCTCACTATTGGAAACTTTCTTATCAATATTCTGTGGGTGAAATAAATAGAGGTATATAATGATTCAATTCAATTGTTCTCCGAATAATGTTTGTTTGTGTGTTTTATACTTCCTCCAGCTACATCTCTGGTTGAGATGTTCCTTCATTATTATTTGTTTTTTCTTCTATACTCCAGTAAGGTAATATATCAGATATCTGCAAGCATTCTATTAATATGCAATGATTATAGGAACATTATTTTAGGGTTTTCTGGCTCTCGCATGGAAGCCATACCAGGTTGCAATTTTTTCACCAACGGGAATTACGAGACCAAATTGTTATGGAGCCCTTATTTCTGAAGAATGGGTACTAACACCGAAAAATTGTTTAGGGTATGTAGGACAATTACTATGAATAAAATAATACAACAAATATATTCATATCACTATGAGGATCTCAGATCATGCTGGGATAAAATGGTGTATTCAATAAATAGAAATGTCATTTTGGAGAGTGAAAAATTCAATTTGAAAACTCTGTTTTTTCTCGAAATATTGAAAGATATATCGAGAAAATATCTTCTGAGAATGTTCATTCAGAACCAGTTTCTCGACAGAAGCTATAATATCGCTTTATCAAATAATCGTGTTATATAGAATCACTTCTGTGAATAACTATACATTCTTTCAGGGAAATGCCTTCGCGTTTGGTGTTTGGAGGAATGCAAAAAAGAAACCAGCGAGTCATGATAATAAGAACTAGAGATCAATTCTACAATTTTGAGTCTCCACTTAATGTGATGTTTGTTAAGCTTGAGAAACCAGTGGCCCTAAATTCCAATATAGAACCTATATTAATTAGTTCATCTGGTAAGGAGTAATCTACCCACTAGAATGTTTCATTGATTGATATACATATAATATACCTTCAATTTTCCACATAATCATTCGGGAAGCCGTTGAAATTAAAATTCGAAATAGCATAATTTAAATGAATGGTTTAGTGGAATAGGAGCCAATTATCACAAAATATTAATACTAAATACTGTATTTCTGAATTTTTAAAACTTGTTTCTCTTTATAGTCGTTCAAGAAGCAGATGGAATTGATAAACAAAAGAATCCAACATTTCCACCATCAATGATACGTAATCCTGCCAATGTAAGGCCTAAGATATCGGGTGAGGAGTAATTCAATCAATTAGTATTTCAGTAAATAATATCTACTGTATTTTTGCTCACTAATTTTCGTATTTCTTTATTGGAGTAGTGAAAATAAAGAACAGATCAACATTTCCACCATCTAGGATACGTGAATTTATAATAAATGGTTCATCGGGTGAGAAGTATGTCAATTAGTACAGCGAGTCAAAAAAAATATATTGTATCATTGATTACTGATTTTCGCTTCTCTCTATGATTCTTCTAGAAGCCGTTAAAATCATAGCACAAAATCGACCAACATTTCCACCAACTAGGATACGTGAATCTATAATAAATGGTTCATCGGGTAAGAAGTATATCAATTAGTATAGCGAGTCAGTGAAAATATATTGTATCATTGATTACTGATTTTCGTTTTTCTCTATGATTCTTCTAGAAGCCGTTAAAATCATAACACAACATCGACCAACATTTCCACCACCTCGTATACGTGATCCCAGCAATAAAGGGCCCATTGGAATTGGTGCACCGGGTAAGAAGTAATGAATTAAATTAATAGAAAATGTTTTCAGTAGATTTGTATTGAGATTTAGAATGGGGCCTTCGGACTATCTGCCTCCACACCGCGACCTTTTCAGATCTATTGTGTCCCTCAAAATCGATTAGAGTTCTTTGGCTAGCCTCGCCTTCTCTATGAGACTCCATAGGCTAGCTTTCAGATCCCCTGTGTAACTTTGGGCTCCTGGTTTTTCCTCACCCAGCGTGAGGAACCTTAGTCTTTACAAGCCCTCACAGTGGCAAAGTATGTGTACTGCTGTTTTCTCCTCTTCCTGACAGAACCTGCACAGCAATTTTTTAGTCAGACCTATCGTACTCATGTGTTTGTTGAGCCTACAATGCCCTGTGAGAAGTCCCACTACACCTCTTTTAATTGTAATTCAGAAAGTGTAACTTGTAATTTAGAAAGCGTCAATTGTAATTCAGATTAGTCAATTGTAATTCAGAATGCATGACATGTAATTCAGATTAGTTAAATAAATTCAGAAAGGATCGCTTGTAATTCATAAATACTATGGACTTGAATAAGGGTAGGGAAAAGAAATCAACGAATTGTTCATTGTGTGGTGAACATCAATATTTTTTATTTATCGACCAACGGGCATAATATCTTGAAATGCCAGAGCTGCAGCATGGTGAATGGTGGGGTGTTGTGCAGCCCTAGCACAATCACCTCCAAAAATTGTATCTTTGGCCTGGTCAATATTCTGTTCTACATAGATAAACAAGTCGTTGTTCTCCAACACCCGGACCTCAAGGAGAATGAATGCATACCGGTTGTTCCTAGTTTCTGAATCATGAGTGATACTTTCTGAATTACAAGTTATGCTTTCTGAATTACAAGTTATGCTTTCTGAATTACAAGTTATGCTTTCTGAATTACAATTGACGGTTTCTGAATTACGATTAACTAATCTGAATTTCAAGTCATACTTTCTGAATTTTAATTAACTATTCTGAATTACATCTTAAACTTTCTGAATTACAATTGAAAAAGGTGTAGTATTCTAGTTGAACTTCGTTTCTGGCTCAGTCGATATTCTGTGAATGTTGTCGATGGTTTTTTATGTTATCAGACTAATAGGTACTGTATATAATGAATGTTCATCGGGTGAGAATTATATCAATTAGTACAGCGAGTCAGTGAAGATATATTGTATCATTGATTACTGATTTTCGTTTTTCTCTATGATTCTTCTAGAAGCTGTTAAAATCATAACAAAACATCGACCAACATTTCCACCATCTGGTATACGTGGTCCCAGCAATAAGGAGCCCATTCGAATTGGTGCACCGGGTAAGAAGTAATGAATTGAATTTATAGAAAATGTTATCAGTGTAATAGGTACTGTATATAATAAATGGTTCATCGGGTAAGAAGTATATCAATTAGTACAGCGAGTCAGTAAAGATATATTGTATCATTGATTACTGATTTTTGTTTGTCTCTATGATTCTTCTAGAAGCCGTTAAAATCATAACAAAACATCGACCAACATTTCCACCACCTGGTATACGTGATCCAAGCAATAAAAAGTCCATTCGAATTGATACACCGGGTAAGAAATTCTTCTATGTTATTGTTCCAAAAGTTATTAGAATCAAGACAGGACCTCTTTCAACTTTACCACCATCAAGAATACGTGATAACAGCAATCCATCATAATTTCATCAATACAAAATTCTATAAATAGGTACCGTACTTTTGATCTTCGATTTTCGTAATTCTCTATAACTTTTATTCAAGATGAAATGGAAGTTATTAAAATAATTCAGTCTTTGAGAAAAACATGCCCAGATCGCAAAGGTTAAATAACTAAAGATATATTTGAACTAAAAAATATTTTGACCAATCCATTATCAAAATTAATCAATTAATGTTTTACCAGTGGTATATTTCCACAAGAATTAAAACATGCTTCATTAAGACCAATTTACAAAAGTGGAGATACTTAAGATCCAGAGAATTACAGACCAATTGCTTTATTGAGCATTTTTTCCAAAATTGTTGAAAAGATTCTTAAAAAAACGCATTGTAACTTTCATAAATAAAAAATATAGCTTTGACATAAATCAATTTTGTTTTCAAGAAAATAGTGGCACACAGGCGGCAATATTACAAGTAATACAAGCAATACAAAAAGGACTTGATACCGGAAATTATGTGATTTGTGCAATTTTTGTTGATCTCCAAAAAGCTTTCGATACAGTAGACCACATAACACTTTTGGAAAATTCAGAATCAATGGGACTCAGAGGCATGATAAGGAACCTTTTAGATTCGTATCTTCAAAATAGGACAATCAGTACCAAATCTACCAACTCAGAGTCTCATAGACTACCGATGACTAAAGGTGTCCCTCAAGGATCTGGTTCAGGACCAATCTTATATTTATTATACTTTCAAAATATCACGAAAATTGAAACAGAAAGTAATTACACTATCAATGCAGACGATCCTGCATGCAATTCAAATCTCAGAATTAAAAATAAATCTTTGAAACGAACTAATGAGAAAAAGTATCTTGGGATTTGGTTTGATGGTAAATTGAAGTGGGACAAACATAAATGTTTTGACGAAAAAAATATCTCCTATTCTCGGAGCCCTGAGAAGATGTCCCAAGTAGGATAAAAAAGTTGCAAATATAATTCTATATCCTCATATACTCAGTAGTATTAACTATTTGATGAATGTTTGGGGATACTGTTCAAAAAAACAATTTTAATAAAATATCTGCATTATATAAAAAGACATTGAAAGTACTGTATCGTTTACTATATGATAGATACACCAACAAATCAATTATAATATAAAATAACTGAATCATTCTCATTAGAAGAAATGTTCAAAATTGAAATACTGAAAATCACATACAATATTATGAATAAAAGATTGAAATCCAATTTTATTTTAACACGAAACAATGAAATTCATAATAACCAAAATATACAACATGGTTTATTTCATCTTGATATCGCTAATTCGTCAATAGGCCAAAAAAGATTCACCCACGCTGCTCTTTTCGAATATACAAATTACCAGATAAAATAAAAAATTGCAGAAATACAATGAAATTCAAATACCAACTCAACAAATTGAATTGAACTCTTGATTCATATTCAAATTGATTGTTGCTCACCAATATGAAATGATTTATCAAAATTTAACACTTAATGTTTTCAAATATTATATTATTTATGAGTTTATTATATATTTTATAGTTTCAAGTATTATTGTTAACTATACTTCCTTACTCCAGAACTTGATTCTGACAGGAAGTCACATTTTCAATAAATAAATAAATTAATAAATTAATAAGGCGAGACAAAAAATCGTTCAACACATTCACCATGATGGATACGTGAGAACACCAATGTATAGAGTCAGTGAAAATATACTGTATTTTTAGTTACTGATTTTCGTTTTTCTCTTTGATTGCTCTAGGAGCTGTTGGAATCAAGATAGGACCTCGTCCAGAATTGCCATCATCTATGACACGTGATCCCACCAATAACCTCCCAATTAAAATTGTTCCACCGGGTAAGAAGTAATAAATAAAATTGATACAAAATGGTATCAGCTGGTATTGTTTAAGGTGACAACGTCATAAAGTACCACAACCTAAAACTCTTTCATTTTTTATACAGAAAAAAATTGAAAATTGCCTCACAGGAGATTTATTTCACATCGTTTGTCTATAGAACGACAACGCTTTGGAATTCTTCACGACATATTCTGCTCTATTCTCAGGGCTTGGATTTTTTTGCCATCGATGGATTGATGCCTGTTTGGAATTGTTTTGGAAGTCCATATTTTGATAAATATACAAGGTGAGTATATTTAGTAGGGTAATTTCTTAAAGTTCTTCAAGTGGTTTTTCCAATTGTGATATATGTGTATATTTTTTCACATAGTGAAATCTGAAGTTGATCCGAGGAGAAAGAAAAAACCTTGAGAGCATGTCCTAAATTGTTTGCTACTATCAAAAATGAAAGAGTTATAGGGTAGTGGTACTTCATAACGTGTCAACTCTTGATTTCTAATTCTGATCTATTCTCATATACGTATAATTGTTCCTATAGCCATTAAAATTAAGATGCCACCTCGTCCTCTACCACCATTGATACGAATCAAGACAAAAACATCAGGTAAGGAGTACAGCATGCTTTAAAAAAGTACTGTATTAAGAAAGAAAACACGAAGTCGTCTCCACAAGTTCAATGTTAAATAGATGCAGTCAATCCTGCTTCAATGGGGTTTGAAAGGTTTGAGACATGCATGTGGAAATAGTTATAACATTGTGAAGGCGAAAAATAGGAGTACACTTCATTTTTATAATACATAGTTGATGATTGTGACATTGAATGGAAATCAAGATAGGTAGCCGAAGTTAATGATTTCAATGAGGATTGGCTTTTTGTCTCCCTTTTTTTAATTTCCATTTAATTTCACAATTATTAATTATGTATTATCAAGCTAAAGTGTTCTTCTTTTTTTCGCCTTCCCGATGTTAAAACTATTTCCACTATTTCATTTTATGAACCAGTACAGTCAATCTTGGAGACCTAATGTTATAATTATCCAGAATTCACTGTTCTGCGAGATTCGCAGGAATGGCACACGAATATATTAGATATCTATCAATAACGACTTGTTATATGCTGTTATATGGATAAATGGTTACTAGAATTATAATTGAAAAAAAAGTGCTTTCGTAGTGACCATAGGTCCATATTTATCATCAGTTTCACAGAAGTATAATGATTGACATATTTTGCTAGTAGTGAAAAAAAAATCATGAAGAATATTATTACCACAGCACCTTATACCACTCGGCTGAAGCCTTCTTGGTCCCTGGGTATCAAAGATATTTTTTACTACCTTGAATATATCATATATATCATTCTACTTTGTGCCAGTGATGCACTTTTTTTATATATATTTTTATATTTTTCTAACTGTAATTTTGAATTGGTATAACTTTTCATGTTATGGGAAAATGAACCTCTGATTTTTGTTTTCTCATAAGGCGTTAGATCGAAGACCCGAAGTCGTCCAACATTTCCCCCATCTTGGATACGTGATCACCCTTCGGAAGAACAAGGTGGAAATTCCAAGCCAACAGACAACCAAGCATCTGAGAGACGAAGCAAAGTCGACCAAGTAGAACCTGTTCACAATCATCAAGCGAGGAAACGTCGTGATTTGATAGACGTTTTCATAGATCCTCTGAGGCTTCTTGATGAGCCCAGAGAATTGAGGAGGAGCATCATTGAGTTGGCTAGACGTTCTATCTTTTTGCCTCCACATCGACCTATAAAAATTCCTCTACCATGATGTATCAACTCAACTGGAATATTTACCATGTTCATTCATAAATAAATCATGTTGGCCTGTTTTGTAGTCTTCATAAATGGAAATATATTCATCCATTTTATCCCAGATCAATGTATTGATTTCCCAGATTGAATAAATATTTATGAACAAACATGCATTTCTATATCAGACAGGGTCCTAGCTAACACACATGTAACATGATATCTCTGAGATGTCGAGTTTAGGTAACAGTACGATATCACGAACGTTCCATCGCTGCGATGTTCATGAACGAATACATCTGCGACATGATATTCCTGAGATGTCGCAATGAAGTAACACTGCGATATCATGAAGTTTGCATCGTTGGGATGTACAGGAGCAAACTGATCTGCGAGAATTTTTCAAAAATTTGATGTTCAGATTCTTGTTCGGTGAAAGAGAATACATGATACGTAACTCAACATAGTGAAGCTAAGTTCGCAAACATTCGTTACATTGCAACCATACTATTCTTGGTTTTCTTACATCTCGCAGACACACACTACAAAATTTTTGATACCAATAAGAGTATCTGATCTTATTCTGATGGAGATTCGTTGGTACCAAGGATAGCACAGCTGAAAAGACGATTGAATGGACAGGAGACCCGAGGGGAACACCAACCAGTCACAACAACTCATAATCAATATAAGATATCATCAGAAGTCAGTGGTGTCCCTATAATCACACCATGTTTGAAGAAACTCCTTTTTCGTTTCATGCATCACATCGTTCTAAAATTGTTCTAAAATTGTTCTTATCCATCATTCCGTTGCACCCTTACGAGCAACCCTCAGAAGTCTTCAAGAGACTTGTGCGAGCAAGGAATGACGTGTGATCCCAAACACTTTCAAAGGCCATCAGAAAAATTTCTGCGGTCGTGGTGGGACTCGAACCCACTATCGGTAATCCAACGTGGATAGAACATTGACGCTCCAACCGCGAGGCTACGCTGGCGTAGTTTTATCGCAAAAGGACATGGCTGCTCCATCACGAATAACATAACGCAATAACAATGCAAGAATATATCGCAGTTATATCGCATAGAAATTATCGCAGCGACGTCGCATAGATGGAACTCCAGTAGGACAAAATAACATCCCTCTGACATCGCAGCGACGTCTATGCGACATAGAAAATAGTTTCTGATAACGTATGCCCGCAAAATTCCAAATTCTTTAAGAAAGTCGGTCCCAAATATTGAAATTCATCTAGAGGATAAAGGTTGTTTTGTTCCCTTATTCATATGCACAAAAAAACAAGAATGATATTTTTTCAAATCATCATTTCTTTTTTTGGAATGAACGAACTGAAAATCACTATGTCACTGAGAGGTGTCTAAATGAAAGAAAAACATTTCCGAAGAAAAATATTTTGCATTTTCATGTTGAGGACGGAGCAGATTTGTTCCTGAAAAAGAAGTTCGATATTTTCTCAATATATCTATATTTCTTCTCTTCAAACATTCTCCAAACAAAGTGTCACTGACAAGCCATTGGATTGTTTGCTTAGGCTCCCTGATACGAAAAATGTATTAAAGGCAGTGACATTTTCTTAAATAATCATGTGAAATTAATGATTTTGTTGTTAGTATCTGCAAATAGAATGACACGTAATTTTCAATGACAATATACAGTGAAGTGGATTTAATTTGAAAATAAATGGTGAGAGGTAAGTACCACAGGGCTTTCGAATGTAATGCATTTTTTGTATAAGTCATCAAAGAGGTACTTCAATGCCATTCAGTAGTAATTTTGTAGTAATTTTTTGCCTCCTTCTGTTCATTTAAGATGAAAAAAAAAAACATTTTGCTTGGTGTAGTTGCAGAGCTAGGTATAAATATTGCTGGATACTAGTACCTCCTGATGGTCCTGATATCCTGCATACATGTATTAGTTCTCAACCAATAGCATGGATCAATAATGATGAAGGTTTAATGTGCCATCGAAATAGTTGGCCTTAGTTCAATCAATATCCATATGCGTGGGTCATCTCACGTCAAGACGTATCTCATAAAAATCGGAATTTGAGATATTTAGTCAAATGACTTATATTCTCATACTCCATGATCTCACCAAGCTGCGTAGCTCAATATGCATTGGTTTTCGTGTAATAATTTTTTTTTATTTTCTGGTTCCCACGAAAAGAGATATCCTGTAATGTTCAGAAAACATCGAGAGAACCAAGGCAAATAAGGTAGGAATTAGTGTTCTCCTTGAATTTCTGGAGGTTATATACCTCGGGGAACACCTTTTTTTGGCAATGTGTTCCAGACCCTCGCTGTTTGTTGTCTCTGGAAAGAGATGTTCTGCAGGTCTCCAAAGTGACCACGAAGGGGTGCGAAGCCTCAACTTGACGGGTTAATCGTTAATCTCGCGGAGACTGGCAAGAAAGGAACAATTGTTGATATTTCAGAAGAGCATTGCCATGAAAATATCTATAAAATAGAGCCAGTACGCCAACTTTTCGAATACTTAGCCTAACTCAAATTATTGGACTACCAAATCTCACGAAGTGACCTAACTATGGGAGTTACGTCAATACGTGAGATATATTTTCATCATTTGTTAAAAATTTCAAAAATGACGTATCTCATAATCCGGTTTGCTGCGGAAATTTGAATATCTTGGATGACGTCTCAAGGTACTGTGAAGAGTTTTGTAAGGTATGTAAGGAAATCTCACCATATCATCACAACTAGTTCTAGTTCTTCTGCTAATAAATAAAAAAAACAATCATCTTTCATGAAAGAACCTCTGAGCGGATTAAGCAGATGTTGAGAATCATTGAATTGCACTCCTGTCAAGTACGTCATCACGTGAGATGGCCATCGATATGAATAGATCATAAAACAATGTTATTAATTTTTATGGACTTTCCTAATAATTGAGCAAACCCATGTCATAGCATGATATCAACATCCCTATGGCTGGGGATTTTATCTGTAGGAATTATTGAACTACAATCAAAGTTTCGTAATTGTCCATTGTATTTTTATATTCTGATTATAGTTTTTATGCTACCCATTTTCAAAGTGGGAGAAATACATTGAGGTATATAGATATTCAATAAACATCTCTTGGACCTCTACATTATTCGACATGTTCGAATACAATAATTACCTGGTTTTTCTGTTATTCTTTAGTAAGGTAATATGGAAGACCAATTTGTCTCACATGCATCGGTGATTGTTGCCTCTCAACCAGTTTGTTTTTTTCAGGGTATTTCGGCTCTGACCTTTGGAACAGATGTCAAAGAAAAGGTACCTTACCAAGTGGCAATTTTTTCGCCAGCAAATAACGCTATACCCAATTGTAATGGTGCCCTTATTTCTGAAGTTTGGGTGGTGACGTCAAAGAAGTGTATACGGTATGTAGGATAAAATTACTAGTACCGTTGTGACCAAAGATATCTCAAAAATTCCGAAACAATTCATTGAAATATCATGATAATCATGAAATTTGGTACATCGCATGACCTTTCAATGCTGTTTCAGAATTGTGCTTCGAATTTTAAAATCTCAATCAGCGCCGTACCATACTGGAGGGGTTAAGGGTAAATTCAATCCCATTTTTGTAAGGTTTTCCTCCTTCACATTTCGATCTCAGAATATGATACATGGAATTGAAAAAATCATTTTTTTTGTGACGGGAAAGAAGTTTGACATTTCAACTCTTCTATCAATTGCTATTTAAATGAAATGGGTACAGGGTAACTCCAATCAAATATCAATTGATAGTGGATAAAATGTTGGAATAGAGACATGAAAACCGTTTCGACCAATAATTATGAATAGTTTTGACACAAAAAATTCCTAAAGTTGAAAAATCTCGATTTCTCACATCCTATAACCCTGTAACTATTACTGCTAGTCCCCAACTGATATACAGGGTGTCCGGAGATAAAACCGACAAAACTCATGGGGTTATAGGGACTGTCAATATGATTGCAAAATGCCATAAACGAATGTCCAAAACGGTTTCGTTACTGAGATACAAAGTGATTTGTGGATTTTGACTGAAAATTCAATCCGCCATATAAAATACAGGGATTAGCCAATTGGATTCAAATTTGGTACACGAATCACACTGAAAAGCGTCAACAAGTAGCCCTTTGATCGAAACCGATATCAGGATCGGAATAATAATTTTCCCCTATGTTGAGTTATTGTTAGGATAACTCACCCTGTATCATAATAACCAAAAATTTCAACTCAGATTCGCAATCTACGGTGAAAATTGTATAGGAATTTGTTGAAAAATCTCCTGGCACCATCTTAGTTATTCCGTAATTAATTATTATTTTGATTTTTTTCATTGAAAAATCAATCATTGTCGGATAAAGTACGTATATTTATGAAACCATGAAATGAATGTCGTTATTTTCTTCGATCAGTTCATGAATCGGAGTAAAATGAAATATTCTCACAACCCGAAAAAACTGAAGAATAAATTCGTATCAGGACTGGAATGAGTGTTTTGTTTGGTCATGTTAGCTGACCTAGTACATCATTACATCAATATTCATCAATAATCTGATTGTAGATTCGGAATCTAAAAAAATCGTATAAGAACCTGTTGAAGAAGGATTACAGTGAAGTTTTCGTAAATTATATTCGCTCACTAATGAATTTGAATTTATGAGAATACTACACAACGAACAATAACTGTTTGTAATGAACATAACAAAAGCAACGAATTCGTGGAAAACTTTCACTACCCAGTATTACAAAACATTTTCGATGTAGAGCCCTCCAACATCAATACATTTTTGAGAGCGTGCTATTAGACGATTTACTGCGAATTATTTGAGGGTTATTTCTAACACTAACACATGCAGCAGTAATTTCCCATAAAAAATTTCTTCATCATGAACTTCTTACTTTGAATGACCTCATAAAAAATAATCTAGCTGAGTTAGATCAGGGGATAGCGGTGGCGAATTTACTGAACCTCCACGGCCAATCCATCTATAGGGGTAATTGGCATCGAGATGGTTTCTAACTGTAACTGAAAAGTGAGGTCTAGCACCATCATGCTGAAACCATATACCTCAGGTATTTACACCTTGCAATAGATCCGGTCAAGTATTGACCAGGAAATTTAGGTAAACATCACCAGTTAAAGCCCAAACACAAATAGAATATCTGCGTATTCCTCATAAGTGAAATGAATGAATGAACACCAATAAAACAAATGCTGATGACAGCTGAACAATGGTTTTCCATAATGAAATTCTGAATTTGACACAAGCCTAGTATTCTTTATACACAAACATTATAAGGTACTGATACGGATTTATTATTTGAAAGTTCAATCCGATCATTTTTTTAACTTTTCTCAGTGCATTTCGAATCTGCGATCAGATCATTGTTATACTAAATCATCTATTCTTACAGGAATATAATCATAGAAAACCGCATTCCAGTCCTGATACGAATTTATTTTTCAGTTTTTTCGGGTAATGAGAGTATTTTATTTTACTATGATTTACGGATTGATTGAAGAAATTAACGATATTCATGTCATAGTTTGGTTAATATTTATTATATTACCAATTTTGATAGTACTTTATCCGACAATAATTGAATTTTGAAAGAAAAAAATTAAAATAATAATTAATTACGGAATATCTAAGATAGTGCCAAGAGATTTTTCAAAAAATTCCTATACAATTTTTACCGTAGATGTCGAATCTGAGTTGAAATTTTTTGTTATTATTATACAGGGTGAGTTATTCTCACAATAACTCAACATAGGGGAAAAATATCATTCCGGTCCTGATATTGGTTTCGATCAAAGGGCGGGCTACTTGTTGATGCTTTTCAGTGTAATTCGTGTACCAAATTTGAATCTAATCGGTTGATCCCTGTATTTGATATGGCGGATTGAATTTTTTGTCAAAATCCACAAATCACTCTGTATGTCAATAACGAAGCGGTTTTGGACATTGGTTTATGGCATTTTGCAATCATATTGACAGTTCCTATAACCCCACGAGTCTTGTCGGTTTTATCTCCGGACACCCTGTGTGTCAATGAAATCAGCTTTCCAGGAAGAATCTGAAAATGTAATTCATTATTCCAAATTTTTTGGGATTTCCTCTCCTCGTTTCTATAAAATAAAAATATGAATGTTATTTCAATATACGTGTAGTAAGGACAAATCAGATGATTTGCCCCAAAATGTAACTGCGTTTAAAGAATTTTCCTATCAGAGAGCCTAAAAGAAAAATTCACTAGCTTGTCATCTGATTTGTCCTTACCACACGTATATTGAAATAATATTCATATTTTTATTTTATAGAAACAAGGAGAGAAAATCCCAAAAAATTTGGAATAATGAATGTACCAACTCCTCGATTAATCTACAAACAGTATTTTAAAATGTAATAATCGAATAGTGTCGGCAGATACACCCACGGCCTACTAGCGGCCGGTGCGACACGGGCTAGCCGGGTCGACGATGTCACACGATGTATTATGATTTTTTGGAGGGCTTCTAAAAGCCCCCGCGATACATGTCTGCTGGGAACTGAACGTTTCTATCACTCGGCTACCTGGCCCCAAATCAATCAGTTTCAATAACATACGATTTTATAGGGAAATGCCGGTACGCCTCGTACTAGGAGCTACTAATATACAAGAGAAAGAAGATCATCAAGTTGAAATAATCATAAGAAGCATGGAACAGATGTTTTCTCCACAACGACCAGTGGATGTAACAATGGTGCGTCTTCTGCAGCCTGTAGGAGTCAACTCTTACATACGTCCTATAAAAGTTGGTAAAGCAGGTGAGGATGAATTCGATATAATTTCGTGATAATTTCGATATAATGACAAAATGGTTTGTTCTGGAAAACTATCGATCCACCTCGATAATATCAAAAATCTATTGAAATAAACAACAAATTGAAACAATATAATCGGGTCGATTCTGTTCGGATCTTGTTATAACATTGCTGAGATAATAATATTGTTATGATCATAACACATAACAATATTGCTATGAAATTCTGTATTCTGTTTGCAGAGTAACTGCAAGACTGATTATAAGTTCAAGTGATGGCAATATTGTTGAAAAATTGAGAATTGAGCTGACAACACTGTTTTCAACTCATTGTTCAAGTGTTAGGTATCGATTTTGCAATCATTTCATGAAGAAGAATAGTTTATGATTATCTAACCTCTCGAATTAGTCAGTTCTGCACTGACATTTTACAAAATAATATTGTTCAAATCGAGAAGATTTTGTACTTGCTGAATCTGGTCGTCGTTAGGCCTGTTCGTTTGTATTGCTGAACTGGCTGAAGTTGATCTTTTTCCCAATAGTTGTCTCTGTTCATGCCATGATGTAAACAAAGAGAATCATAGAAAAAAATCAAGTTCAGCAGGTTGAACAAGCACAAACGAACAGGCCTGTTGTGCGACTGGTGCAAGTAAGATGGCTACTTGTAGCCATCTTAGGTGCAAGTAATCAATAACGTCCCCGAAATGAGAAAACAAATTGTAAATTGTGAAAAAAAAACCGGATGAATATAATAATGATAAATTATCTATCAGGCAACTGAAATTTCTCTGATATGCCGAAATTGTAGTCTTTACAAATTGGAACTTCAAGAAAAGGTTTTCAAGTAGTTGTTCACAGTAGTGAACCTATCCTATATGTTTGTAATCACCATTCTAAGTTTTTCAATAGTTCTTCTACGAAATGAAACTTTGAGGAAAGGTTTTCGAGTAGTCAGTGACACAACTGAACTCTCATATGTTTTTAATCCACTATTTTCTGAATTTTCATACAGTTGGAAGAATTTGTAGTGCAGAAACAAAGAATCCACTACCTTGTTATAAGATGGCAAGCACAAAATTGATGTTACTGAGATAGCAAGAAAGCTGACGAGATGTCATTGAAATTGACAGATCATATTGCCAAAAATCGATGATTAGAATTCCACTTTTTCGAATCTTGCTATGATAGCAATATCTTCTCTAAAACCATATTGCTGTTTGCAAAGAGAATCGACCCGAATATGTAATCGTAATCTCAACTAGAAAAGAGAACTCACAATTTCACAATGAAAAACATTTCTGTTAACTAGGTAGTCATCTTCATTCATTCTGCCATGGCCAACTGAATTTTCACATCCTTTCCCAAATCATACTACATATATGCCATGGTTCATTTTTATGTAGAAACCACACTGAATCAGTAGTATGTGTGAAAAGTATTGCACACAACTCTATGGAAAGATCACTAAATTACTGTGTTACTGTGATGTACTGACTAATGTTGAGAGGTTTATCTCTATTCTACCCAGGGGCGGATCCAGACGATGTTTGAGGGAGGGGGGGTATATAAAGTCACCACTCAATAAGGTTAGCACGGATGAGAAATTATATAGTTACCTTCTGAGACAAATGTTTTTTCATTAAAAAACGTATGCTAGTAAACATGAAATCTTTAGTTTCCTTTCAAGTATCGAAATTACTGGTGTAAAGAAAACAGTTCAAACTATTCGGTTTAGTCCATCAATATATGTAGAATTCGGCAATAAATAATATTGGATGAAAAAAGTGAATGAAAAAATATTTGTCTTGAAATACTTGGGTACGAAAGTAGGAAAAAAATATCCCTCTCCAAAAACAAAACAAATGAAACAGACAAATATAAAAATATATGAAATAAAGAATCAAATTTTAAAAACTATATAACAAATTATAGTCTTCTATTCTTCTGACTAGCGTATTTTTGGATGATATCATCAACATTCAGACATTTAACCTGTCTTGAACCATTCGGGATAATATCCTATCTTTCAGCCTTCTGAGTGCTGAAAAACTCCTTTCAGAAGATGCAACACTTACAGGCAGGCAACATCATAGTTCCGGAAGAATGTTTATGTTATATGAAACGAATTTTTGTTACATTCCTTCAGAGCAGTTATACCATTGTCTAGTATATTTTGCTTAGTATCCCACATTTTCTTCCATATATACATTTCAGAAACGATCTTCTGAGAGGAAGTCATTTCATCATTCTCCTCAAAAATGGTCGGAAACTATTCAAGTATATTTATCATACCTTGATATGTATGTATGTATGTGTATGTGTGTGAGCGGTCCGGGACCTGACGCACTTAGGCCTCCCTTTTCGGGCCCATTGTGCACCCACATTCCTGGGATCGCAAGTCAGCCATGGAGAAGGCCGATCTCGCGAGCAAAAGACCAACTTTCTAGGCCAAATCTTTTTAACATCCTCTGGGCCCAGGATACTGCTCCCAAAATGGATATCCCTTGCTGCCACTATTGCCGGGCATTCAGTGAGGATGTGAGTAAAAGTCTCTTCATCCTCTAGGCACCATCTACATTCAGGGTCCTCCACAATCCCGATCATGCTGAGATGTTTGTTCAGGTGGCAGTGCCCTGTCAGAAGGCCCACCACCAGTTTCAGCTCCTTCCTGTTCAAAGCCAAGAGGGCATTGGTCTGTCTTCGTGACGGGTTTCCTATATGGAATTTGGACTGCCTTGATATATTTCCTCGTCTGTTTTGTTTTTTGTTATTGATGGTACACATAGGTCATCCACTGAGGAAACCGTAAGATTCTCCCTGTTAGCCAAGGGCAACACCATTATTATTATCATATATTTAGCGTAGGTCGCGGGTAGATAGCTAGCTACACTTATTTTTTTTGTCATTCAAAAAACCTACATTTATACATACCCATGAGGTTCCCGAGGGGAGGGCCATGGACCCATGCTCCCCCCTGGATCCGCCCCTGATTCTACCCGCAACAAAATATATTCAAACTTAGCAGTCATTGTGATACTAAAATACTGAAATTTGAATACTAAACCATCCCTTTGACATAGTTAATTCGTCCTTTATCAAAGGTGAAGAGAATCGACAGCGTGTGATATACGTCAATAATCTGCTTTGTCGACTCATAATGATATAACGATGAATGCATCAATCAATCAATCATATACTTCAATCGGAAATTATCGACACGAAGGTACACTAGAACTCTAACAAGACCAATTAGTGAATTCATAAAGGTTCTCGATTCATTTTTGATTTCAACCCTTCTGACATAACTTCATACATGTGGGGGATAATTGTTTTTGCTGGACTATGTAAAAAAATATGTACATTTTTAAAAGGTGAACTAATAAACTAGAGCAAATGAAAGACGATTTGGAGTTTTGAATGATATAATACATACAGTGTGACCCATTTAAAATGGAACCACCCCTGTATCTTACGTAATCGTTGGGTGAGGATCCTGAAATTTGCTGGAGTGAGAGATATACCAAAAATGCACTCTATGACCAAGTGGGGTCATCTTCAGTGATATACACTGCTCGCCAACAGCCATGAAACTACCCCAATTTCCGGAAAATGATATTAGGAGTCAAAATAGGTCGAATATCACTTCAGATTTGGAATCAGGACGCTCAATTTACTAACTATCCAAATTTTTCCTGGAAATTTTCAGTTCGGAAAAATGAAATTTTGTCGCATTTTTTATGGAAGCACCCCCGTATTTCACGTAATTGACTTTATCTTTGGACTTTCTCTTCCTCCGGCAAATTTCAGAACCCTACCTCAATAATTACGTGAGATACGGGGGTGCTTCCATGAGAAGTCAGACAAATTTTAATTTTACTGAACTTTGAATAGTTAGTAACTTGGGCATCCTGATTCCGAATCCGACGTGATTTTCAACCTATTTTGACTCCTAATATCATTTTCCGGAAATTGGGGTGGTTTCATGGTTGTTGGCGAGCAGTGTATGTCACTGAAGATGACCCCACTTGTTCATAGAGTGCATTTTTGGTATATCTCTCGCTCCAGCAAATTTCAGGATCCTTACCCAACGATTACGTAAGATACAGGGGTGGTTCCATTTTAAATGGGTCACACTGTATATGTCATACAAGGGGCTCGGTAAATTATGGATCATACTCTAGCTGATGATGAAGAAGTGCATGACATATCAGAAAACCACAGATTGGCTTTAGTAAAAACCTCAAGATTTTCGAGATATCGGAACTTATGAAAAAAAATTAAACTCATATCTCAGATCATTCATTCATGTACCAAACAAATAAGAAGTGTGTCATGTTGATTCTTATTTTTGATGAGATATCACTGAATAGTAGTTGTAACAATCGCAGAGTGCAGATTTTTTGTATCAGTCATTTAAGTGAAAATTTTCAAATTGGTAGGTGTACAGATTCAAAATCCAACTAATTTTGTGAGAAATTTCATTTTCATCTTGGTGGATCAAAGTCGATTAATTATTTCCTATGACTATGTTCATCACCGTGTAGACACATATGTCGTGTGATCAGGCGTACGTAGCATAATTAAACTACTGGATGTTCGAGAAACCAGATGAGTCGTTTAAGACAATCACCTATTTTTCAGGTTCACATCATGAAGTTATCGTGACAAGTTGGGGTGACCATGGTGGTCATTTGAAAGAAAGTTTTACTGGCATCAAGTCATCGTATCGCTGTTACGCGAAAGGCACCGTCTTGAACAGAAGAAAACCAAGCAGATACGAGATATGCACCTTTGGAACAGCTTGTAGGGGGGATCATGGTGCACCATTAGTATTCAGAGATGACTCTGACAAAATTAAACTGGTCGGAATCTTAACTTCATATGAACCCAACTGTAGAAGCTTCTCAGATTTTTACACTAGACTGATGCCATTGCATAATTGGTTCAGAGAAATAGAGGTCATAGCAAGAAAAAAATTCAGCAATTCAACGAGCTCCATAGAGACAACTACCGATTCACTGAACAAACCTCTCTATACACAATCCGGAATCAATGCTTCCAATATTCCTATGACCCACACTGGTGTTCTTATTTCGAACGATACAGGGAAACCAGCTGGACTAGCAGAACAAACATCTATTAGTGATTCCGTGCACAACATTCCTACTGGATACCATGCAGTGGAACCAATTGGACTAGCAGGTGAAGCGTCTACTAGTGAATCCATGCACAACAGCTCTACTGAATTCCATGCAGGGAAACCAACAACTGAACTAGCAGTTGAAGCGTCTACTAGTAATACCGTGCACAACATTTATACTGAACACCTTGCAGGACAACCAATTGCACTAGCAGGTGAAGAGTCTACTACTGAATCAATGCACAGTTTTACTGATTTCAATGCAGGGAAACCAACTGGACTACCAGGTGAAGCGTCTATTAGTGAGTCCGTGCAGTACATTTCTACTGGATATCATGAAGGGAAACCAATTGAACTAGCAGTTGAAGAGTCTACTACGGAATCAATGCACATTTCTCCTGATTTCAATGCAGGGAAACAAACTGGAATAGCAGGTGAAGCGTCTACTAGTGAGACCGTGCAGTACATTCCGACTGGATATCATGAAGAGATACCAACTGGACTAGCAGGTGAAGTCTATGCTAGTGAATCCGCGCACAACCTTTCCACTGAATACCATGCTTCTCCTGGAACTGGAAACAACGAAGGATCAACAACGATGATAATGTCAACTACCATTCCAACGAATACAGAATATTCAAGTGAATCTCTGATTCCTAATGAATCTCATGTAATGACTTCCAATACAGACGCTACAACAGTACCAGAAGGTCCAGATGCTCATTCATTATCCTATATGAATACTGTTGTACCAGTGGTTGTGACTGAATCACAGCCTACTGAGGCATACCTAACAGAAACTGTTACACATCAAGCTACTAAAGTTCAGGAAAATTTGACTATGAATGAATCCACTATTACAGAATCTACAATTGACAGCTCAGTTACTGCTACTGCAGGCGTCCTTGTTTCAGAAACATCAACGGTACCTTCTCCGATGGACATAAATGTTCAGCCTCGCCCTATAGATGGAGATGTAGATGGAAATAAAGATGAAGATGAAGAGGACGAAGAGGAAGATGGAGCAGAGGATGATTATGAAAATGGTAGTGAAGGAGATGATGAAAATAGTGATGAGAGAGATATTATTGAACCAGAAATATCTAACAAACCTTCAAATGTCGGAAACACGTCTGAATCCCAGGTAACCACTTCTGGATTGCCAATCGGCCAAAATTCATCTGACCAAACTATCATTTCACCTGGAACCAGTTCGATATTGATGATAATCAACCCACTGTCACCAAATGGAGTAACGAAGATAACAATCCAGAACTCACCGATGAAGGGAAGCACAAAATACTATGAGAGGCCAATTTCCATTCATTTTGGAGGCAGTTCCTCGAAATTTGTCATGGTCAACCAACCAGCAAAGAGACCTATTTACAGTCAGTATGGAAAAAGTACTAACACAATTCCGTTTGCTAGTCCACAATCTAGACCTTACATGAATCAACTCGGGGGACAAAGTTCGATTCAAATTCCATATGCTTATCAACAACCAGTAAGACCTATGTATATGTGCCTTGGGCAAAGTTACACACTGACTAGATATCCTCCCAATCAACAATCAGGAAGACCTATCCAGAACTTGCCCGGAAAAAGTTCTTCCGCCATTCTATATGGCAATCCACGACCAAGACCTATCCAAAACATGCCCGGAAAGAGTTCTTCAGCCATTCTATATGTCAATCCACAATCAAGGCCAATCCAAAACATGCCCGCAAAGAGTTCTTTTCCCATTCAATATGCCAATCCACAATCAGGGAGACCTATTCTCATCAGGCCCGGACTAACGCCTACGAATGTGCAACATATCATCAAACAATCAGGAAAAAGTTCTCCAACCATTCAATATGCAGGAAGACCTATCCGTCCTATCCAATCAGGAAAGAATTCTCCAACCATTCAATATGCCAATCTACAATCAGGGAGACCTATCCTTCCTATCCAATCAGGAAAAAGTTCTCCAACCATTCAATATGCAGGGAGACCTATCCGTCCTATTCATTCAGGGAAAAGTTCTCCAACCATTCAATATGCCAAACCACAATCAGAGAGACCTATCCTCATTCGGCCAGGACTAACGCCTACGAATACTCAATCCACTCCCCAACAATCTGGTGTGCCTTGTATAATTCAGCCTGGACCATATTCCAAAACTATTCCCTATGCCAATCCACAATTAGGAGTACCTGTCAATATGCGGCCTGGCTTGCAATATAACAAACAGAAACCAGGAGTGCCTTGTATCATTCAGTCTGGACCAGCTTTTGGAACTAATCCATATGCCAACCTACCGTCAAGGGTACCAAATATTTACAAACAGCCTACTAATGTACAAGGATTTTAACGGAAAGCTCATTTAAAATAAGCTCCAAGAATAATAAATGGGATAGAATATGTCATTGGAATATAATTCATAAGGCTACGTTCAGCGGCAGGTCGGACCATGGTCAATTCGTCTCAATTCGTTCAGACCGTAGTCAGACTATGGATCAGACCGTGGTCCACGTAGTCTCATTTAAAATGAGGCCAAGCATGGTCTAAATCGTTCAGTCCATTGTTTCCATCAGTAAACGTCAGTTATATTTGACATGAATTAATGACATGCAAATGCATACGAATTTGAAAGAATATCTTCGCGGGTGAGATAACATGATGGCCAACAAGTTCAACAGATATTGCTTTATGCCGCAGTGTAAACAGTATGAAGTTATGAAGATACAAAATGTATCGATACAGGTAAATACAACAGGTTCTCCAATCCTTGTCTTCATTGGTGAAAGCTATAGTTGTATGTCCTGTTCACCATCCACCATCGGCCAATATCTTTTTTCGATATATTTGAGATTTCAACAAGCACCATCGTTGAAAAATCAGTCTGACCATTTGAATTTCGAAATACAAATAAAATCAAATGGGAGTTCTAATGACAACTTTGACAGATACTAAAACAAATGCATAGACCTTGCATGGACCGATGTCGTTCAGAACTCCTATGCTTGTTGTGGTCCGACTACGGTGGTCCAGACCTGACGCTGAACGTAGCCATGTCAGTACATTATACAGGGTGTCCCTGAATCTTCTTCACAGAAACTTACCACATATTCCTCAGATAAAAACAATTCGATACTAGCAAAGTTACCTCAGTGCAAAGGTGCTTAGTTTGAACGCTGGACGGCTAGTAAGTTACAATTTTTAGATCGTTTTTGCTTCATAACTTTGAAACACCTCATGACATTCCACACAAATCTGGTACGTTAGCATAGCTTCATCGGACAATAGAACCCATATCATGATAATTATAAATATCATCCCATGAGCGTAGAGCTTGATTTATTCAGTAAATAATCATCTGAAACTTCTATCCCAATGGAAAGAGAGGGGTTCCAATTTGAATTTTGGATTGCGTAACTTGCTTACTACAAAAAACTATCCCTGATAAAATTCAATTACTCTCATGGTTTCGACAAAATTCGAATTTTAGTAATTTTAAGCACCAGTTGAAATTGAAACGGTATACAGATATGTCATGAAAATTGTCTGGGAGCTAAAAGGCAAAGCTCATAGCACATTCAATTTTTTTTGTCGTATAAATCTTTGTATAAGTCAGAATGATAGTGAAATATTTTCGAGAAATATATGTTAATCGTTTCAGTGTAAACTGATGCTTTGAATTTCTGAGGTCAAATTCGGTCGAAATCATAAGACCAATCGAATCAAGAACACCTTTTTGTAGTAAACAAGTTACGCAATACAAATTCCATATTCAAACCTCTTTCTTCCCATTGGCGTAGAAGTTTCAAATGTTTATTTACTGTAGAATTCAAGTTCTACGCCCATGGACTGATATTTATCATTATCATGATCACGGTTTATAGAATATGGTGTAATCCCAAAACGCAATAATGGCATATTAGTTCTCAGTTATCCACAAGATGCTGACACTTTTTACAGATTTCTCTCATGACAGAAAACAGAAAACCGCGCTTACACACCGCTCGCACCAGAAATAATATTATCATAACATTCATAACATAACCTCAATTTCAATTTCAGTCAAGATTCCGCCATCTAACGGGTAAAATGCGACCTAATATATTCCGCAATATTGAAAAGAATCCTTCTGTCAAGTAGGTCGTAGGTCAAGAACTTTGACCGAAAAACTGTAGATGTGATTTGATAGGAGTTTCTACACCATATTCTGTTCATCCTGATCATGATATGGGTTTTATTGCTCAATGTAACTATGCCAACGTACCAAATTTGAGTGACATTCTTTGAGCCGTTTCAAAGTTATGAAGCAAAATCGATTTGAAAATTGTAACTTCAGAGCCATCAAGTGTCCAAACTAAGCAACTTCGTACTGAGGTGAATTTACTTGAATCGAATTGTTTTGGTCTGAGGAATATGTGGAAAGTTTTTGTAAATACTTCTAGGGACACCATATAAGTCTATATAGTGTGTAAATAAAGTTATCATAAGATTAACCTTGATGTTTTTTTCTATCTAGTTGACAAAAGAATTGAATACATTATTACGATTGGTCCACCAGAAGCATACTGTTTCAATGACCAAGATGAATAGAGAAATTATAATGCCAGTGAATAATATCAAATAAACCAGAAACAATTCGTTGACTCCAACAGAAACAACTCTAGAACCAAGCAAGCATTCGGGTTTCCTTGGTAGCCAGAAGTCTTTGTCTCTCTTCAGTATTCCTCCAACTCTCATCATTGTCAAACTGAAATGAAAAATATCAATACAACCTCTGGAATTCATTATATAAATAATGTGTTGGAATATTGTATGTTTCTAAAATTAGTACTATTCATATTTTTGGGTATGGATATTGAACTGATTGTGTCTTAGAAAGGTTGTGTTCTCTCTAGACAAAACTTCGTTATGTGAAAAACATTAAAAATTCAAAATATTACATAATTGACGACCCATTGTGATTGCTCATTAAAATTCATTTCGTGCAATGTGCAATCGTATACGGAGAGAGTACTTCACGTTCTCTACACAGTACGCAAAGTACATCTTCGCAGCCGTTGCCGAAGCAATCCAGAACCTTCTAAATATCTATAATTTCATTCAGAATTTCACTTCAGCTATCTAGCTCAATGATTTCGACGATTGCTGAAAAAAAGGTGTACATACCATGACTGCGAAGCTTTTTGGCGACCTCAAGATTATCATGCTCGTTTCATCCCCTTTGCCTGCCTCCACTACAACCGCATCAAAAATTTCAAACGGCATTGTAGGTTGTGGTACCTCATTGGAAAGACTTTTCAATAGTTTTTTGACCACCTGCGTTTTAATTTCTGAAATCGAGCAATGGTTTTGCAATAGTTTAACGTAGGAATTATTAGGCTCGTTTCATCAATAACCTTGCACCCAATGCTCACCCCCAAGTTTATTGGGGTCGTGTCTAAACTGTTGCATTTTGCCTGTGCAAATCAAGCGACTAGTTTTGGAGAGATGGAGGAAATGAGAAAAATTCATTCAATATGGATTTTACAATGAAAAACTAGAATATTGTACACATGTTGGAGTCGTGAAAAATTCTCTCAAAAAATTGATGGTTTTCAATTATTTTCTCAATATCTCTAGGAATAGTCCTTTGATTTCAACATGGAAAATGCACAAGTTACCATAGACCTACGACCCCCATAAACTTGGAGGTGGGCATTGGGTGCAAGGTTGATGCAACGAGATAAATAATTTTCACGTTAAACTATCCACCTAACAGCCATTGTTCACGTGTTTCAGCGATTTTCTGTACAACTTCTTATGGACTATATTTTTAGACCTTTCCTTCGATATTTTGCAAACTGATCCTCCGATTTCGAGAATTAAAACACAGGCATTTACAGAATTGAATAATCTTTCCAATGGGGTGCCACACAGCCTTACTTAATCCTATACCTTTATACCGTTAGGTGGCTCTCCATATATCTCTCCATGTTCTCCTATCTTTTGTCAGTTCCTTAGTTTCTTCCGATTCTTTCTTCCTCTCTGATTCCATCATTCCATCTTCTTCTAGGTCTTTCTTTACTGTTTTTTCCTTGCACTCGCGCTTCGTATACTCTTTTCGTTAGTCTTTTCTCAGGCATTCGACACACATGGCCAAATCATCTTAGCTGTCCTTGTCTTTTGACATTTTTGATGGGGTGGCAGTGGAGGCGATGGGGATGAAACGAGCAAAGTGATTTTTACTTGAAAACATGTCCCCCTCACAATTATTCTTTAAATGTCTTGGCGATTTTCCGCGAACCATCTACTAAACGAGATATTGCGGGTGGTAAGTTTTCGAATGAACACCCGGTATAACCATAGAAAATCCTGTATGAGTACACGGAAAAAAAGTTTTGTTGCACCAACAAAATAATTTTGGTCATTTTTTTATGTTAAATTAAACACAATTTTGCGGAATCAACAAAATATATATTTATTACAAATAAGCAACCTATTCAAAGAGACAAAATAATTTGATTGAAATATTTGCTTACTTGAATAAAAGTTTCATTTTATTCAACAACATTTATAGTTGAAATAAAACAAATTTTGTTGATCCGACTTTCATCTCATTGTTCAATCAATCATATGCATTTTGTTTATTCGACAAAATTAAATCAATTTTGACAAAATTAAATTGATTTTGACAAATATATAACTAAATACAACATCATATTTTGTTGAGTCAACAATCATTTCATTGTGCAACCAGTCAAAGGTTTTTTTTTATTCTACAAAATTGAATTTATTATGACAACATTATATTTTGTTGATTCAACACATCACTATCAAGAAATATGTTGTTAAACGAATTAGTTTGTTGAACAGAACCCACAAGAACATTATATCAAACAAATATTTTGTTGAATGATTATCTAGTTGCATTTTTGCCACCTGGTGGCGATTCTTCCAACCTTCCTACGCTCGCCTCGATTGGGGTGTACATATACCTAAAACATCCGTTTATATAATTTCATCAGGCTGTCCTAGAATTTCTTATATGACGCTTATACAAGCTTATAGTCTTGAATCAACTGAGGAAATTGATCTCTAATTTTTCTCAGTTTTGAAATTCAGTTATTGGAATCCATTTTTATTATTCAGCAAAATATTTTGTCAATTCTAAATACAATTTTGTTGATCGAAGAATATATTTTGTTATTTTAACATATTCACTCTCTGAAAAACTTGAAATTTTGTCACCTGAATGAAATGTAATAATCATTTCAATCAATAGAATCGTTCATAATAGCAGCATATTGTATTATAGGAACAAAATAGTCTTAGTTTATTCAACCAATTCCTGCTGTTGATTTAAATCATCAATGAGTTGAATCAAATGAATTTTGAATTCAAAACTGACAAAAAACATTTGTTGCGGTGACAAAATATATTGTCGTGGATATATGACACTCAGCCTTTGTTGAATTTACAAAAATTTTGGAGTTTCAAAAAAAATTTGTGTGTGTATCGTTATTACCTGATTTGGAACAACTCCGTATACTCCGATCTCTTTTGCAACGAGAGTCCAACTACACCAGGGGTCACAAAATCAATCTCGGCCAAATCACAAATCGACTCTTGATCGAAAGTCCTGGCCACCAAAGGATATGCTGTTTCACCGTCGGTGTGATAGGCAAAACCTCCTTTTTTCACCATTGCTATTCCTTCTTCAGGTGACATGAAGTTCGGCTTCCCGGATTCATAAATTTTGGTTCTGTTCAGTTTTTGAATGAATGCATCATTCTTCTGTTGAAGGATATAAGTGATAGTGTATGGCTGATTCTCAATTCCCACCTTCAAGTTACTTTCAGATAGTTCTCGCACGGTTGACATCACTTTTGGCTTGGAACTCAGTAGAGAAGAAACCAGACTTGAGGTGTAATAGTTGTACAGGAGGATGGAGAGGATCAGGAGGTTCATGAAAATCAGTCTGCCTCCTAAATGAGCTGGCAACATAGCTGAACCTGTAATGCAATTGAAATTCTGTCGATAGATTCCAAGAGTACACGGAAAAAAGGATTTGTTGTATCACCATATTATTTATCTTTGAATTATTTTTGTTGGACAGAGCAATTTTTTTTTAATCAAACAGATACATGATCATTTCATGGAAGCAGTTTGTCCAGATCAAGAATGTAATTCAATTGATTCAACACTATAATATCAATTCCATCAACTAAATATATGGTTATCTCAAAAACATATTATGTCGATCCAAAATAATATCGATGTCGATTCAACTATAAACATTTTGTTGAATTGATGAAATAATGATCATTTTGATAAGGATATATCTTTGATACAACATACATCATTACGATGTAGCAATGAACTTATTTCGGATAGATCAGTTGCTTGAATAGAGCAACGAAATATGTTTTATCAATGAAATATTTCGTTCATTCAATATCAACTAAAGTTTTCGCCACTAGATGGTGATCTTTTCGCCTCATCTATGCCTGCCTCAGATTCATTATATGTATACGTGAAGCTTGATTCCTCGTGTTTGAAATATCAGCTGGATTATTCGAACTTAGGATGTTTAGCAAGCCAAAATAGCCTTGCATCAGCTGAAGAGAAGTAAAGACAGGAGATCTGTGCTACAAGCTAGAAGTCGACTAGATTCCTAGTTTTAGTTTTATTTCATTCTATTTCATTTTATTCTATTGATGTGAAATTTCAGATAATTCCCGAATAAATACTGAATTTGGTTCAACCTTACAATTTGTTGAATGGAAATACAGTTTCTCTGGAATCAAAGAAACATTTCATTGGATCAACACATTATTTCATCGAATCAACAAAATATTTCATTGATTCAACAAAATAATTCATGGAATCAACCAAATATTTCATTGAATCAACCAAATCTTTCATTGAATACACTAAATATTTGATGGAATCATTATCTAGTTTTTTTGAATCGAACAAAATGATTGTTTGAGCCAATTCAATGTCTCTTCATAAACAATTCATGGATATGCTTGATTGAATAAGATCCAGAGTTCATGCAAGACATATTCACTTGATTCAAACTAATAATTCGCTCTGAAACAAGATATAGATTTACTCATTTCAAGATCATATTTTGTCGTAATATATGACACTTATATTTGTTCCATTCTATTCAATTTTGCTTGATTCAACAATTCCTTCTTTCTGTGATATCAATATTTCCCAATAATAACTCCTTATTTTTTTCTCTCAACAAACTAATATATTATTGACATTTTTGTTGATTATTGAACGAGAATAGCTTCATAATTGTGGATTTCGAGGATCGGTCCAAAAGGAATTTCGAGTGATTCTTATAATTTGTCAACTGAGTACAACATATTATAGTTTATTTTAACAAAACTTAGATGACAGATTTTTCTATGAATTTGCCAAGACCAGACAATTTCTGTTCTTGATGGAAGTATTTCTGACAGTCATGAAATTGTATTTACCTTGCTGAGCCAAAATTGAAATTGTTATCAGGAAAGAAGTGAAGAAGCTCGTTCTGGTATTCGAATTCAAGAATCTGTTTGCGGAAAAATAGGCAAATTTAATAGCTGCACTGATCAGGAGTGCTAATCCGCTAACGGCATACCAGGTGTTCAAAGAAAACGGTTTCAGGACCTCAGTACCCGGCTTCAATGTCCCAGGATTTTTGAAGAAATAGCAAGTCCTGTGAACAATTAATATAGATAATGATTAGTAGAGAGGGATGTCATAGACTTGCCTGAACTCGAAATACGGCAATAAATAGTCATAAAATTCCATTCTCCCAACACGTAAAATTCCTCCAGCACTACTAATATCCAGTGTTTTCTCGTGCAATAGTTTGGCGACTCCTCCATCAATACCACTTGAGCTGTTACCATACCAGGCTGATGCCAACGTTAAATTGTAACTGAAACGTATGAGCACTCGAAAATAATCAAAACAGTAGGCAATCATAGATAATATGGGCATGCAGTATCTACGAGAATATCTGCTTCTTTTTTTTTCCTACCACAATAATTGTTTCTTACGTTGATCTTGACTATTTTGTGAAAAATTTGACTTACCTGAAATGGTGAGTACTTCTCAGGTTCAGGAATGATATGAAATCGAATTTTTCGAATATTTTATGTTTTATATTTCTGTATTCCTCTGCAAATTTATCTTCAGTTTCTAATGAATAGTTGGTCTGAAAATCATACCACATCATACTAAAGGCTTATTCATTATATGATAGGATAGCATAAACGATATCCATCTCTCATGAATATTTTCCAGACATACATTGAGTTACGACGTCATTATTTCTCTATCCAGATGGCAATGCATTTTTCTGTGTATAGACGTCATATTTTTCACTATTTTTTTCTCATGTCACATAACTTTATTTTCAAGAAATGATAGAGATTTCATCAATTATAATGTAATTTATGATGAAGTCATCAAAAATATCAGTAGACCAACAGAAGCTCTAAATCTTTTTAGGTTGAGAATCTGTATTCTTCTTCAGATTAAAATATGTATACACATAATATCATTCTGAATATTCAACAGAAAACAACTACTTTCCTGGCTATTTGCCACGTCAAACATTCAATTTTATGATGAGAAATGAAAATTCCCTGGAATAGGGAATATACATTCCCTACCAAATCGGATAAATGATATATGCATACATATAATTTTGATCTGAAATAGAATACAAATTTCCAACTTCAGAAGATTTTGGTTTCAAAATCCTATCGTGTGTGTTCAATAGATATAATTCATATATCCAGGAAAGTAGTTGTTTTCTGTTGAATGATCCGAGGAAGAATTGATATTTTCATCACATAAAGAATGCGAATTCTCAATGCATTTAAAAGTGTTTAAAAGTGTTTTTAACCGCCAGCTTAGTTGCAAAGCAACCCTCGAAAGTCAGAGACTTGTGTGAGTTAAGAAGACGGGGACCTTAGCTTTTTAAGTGTCATCCGAAGCACTACTCGGCTGGTAACCGTGGACAGTCCAAAGGATTGATATCTAGGTACCAAGAATGTTGGGTTGGCCACCTATCTCCTCCCGCACAACGAAACTACCGAAAATTAATTCAGTGCTCGCGCCGGGGATCGAACCCGGACCGCCTGGGCAACAGCCAGCGACTCTACGCTCACGGCCACCAGCCCAGTTATTTCTTTATATTAGATAACATATATTTCCATTTTTTCATGTTTATAATTTATCTGAGACTATTCCCTTCCAATAGTTCCACCCAATCAAGTAGTTCAAAGAAAGAAGGTAATATCAAGCTTTTTTTTATCGCTTGGAGCGCACGAAAGGGAATCCCTTTAATGTTCAAAGAACATCGTGCGTTCCTAGGGAGGATAGGGAATTTGTTCCAACATTTACGTGATCACTGTAGGAAATTCATGAGGAGTGACTTATTTTTCGTTAGTTAAAATAAGAGAGAAGTTTCTATGATAAAATAACTAGAATAGCTTGGTTTCCAAGATACAGGGTGTTAGAACTGTATTTTGATTCATGTTTTTTGTAAATAATTTTACGAAAAGTGATTTTATTATAAAGATAAGTAGGGCATAGAGTAGTAGAATGTAAAGCTCTTCTTTCTGTCATATTTAGAAATCGTAAAGCTACCAACGAATGAGTCACGTGGTCCCTTTTCTTCAAACGCACACAGGTATTTTGTCTTTGTAGTCCTTAACTGGTTTGATTTCAGCAGGCAAGGGCCATACACAGTATCCGCATAGTTTGCGTGCGATTATATACTATAGATTCACATAGTAGGATTCTCGTATTTTTATTCAACAAATCCCTAGTGGCATATATCGTTTACAATCCGAAGTAGGCTTTCTTAGCAAAAAGTGAGATATGCGCACTGAATTTTAGCGAATCATCAATGAGCAGTTCTAAGTGTTTTGCACTTGTTTGAGTTGTCAAACGAACCTCATTCATTTGGATGTCAAGATTAGGCAAGCATCTTTTTTTTGCGGCTTTTCTTCCAAATAGTAGAACTTCAGATTGTGTTGGGTTGATCGATAGGCAATATTCATCAGATGGTGCTCGAAGAGATTCTAAATCATCATTCAGGTTGTTACACACATTGTTTAGAACATTTTCAGAAAAAGAACAGTGACGTAGAGCTTTGGTAAACTGTGAAGTGTAAACTACAAAAAGCAACGGACCTATAATCGAGCCCTGGTCCCCGATTCTCGACTTCAGTTGAATTCATTCCAACTGGTAAAGGTTCGTATTCCCGTGGGAATCTTGAAGAGTATTCTCGACCACGATAGGAATGCTATTCCCCAGTGGAATTGAAAACACGGTATGTCGGTGATAGTTTATGTGCTCAACCAATCAGATATTGATATTTTCCAGGGATATTTTTGTTTTGATTTACAACGATACAAAGATTTCAGTTGGTAGTGGTGTATGCATGGTGAAATTTAGGTTGTGTATAAAAACAATTGCAAAAGAAAGAATTGGGGGTTTCTGGAAACATTTTCTTCATAAGGAAAGAAAGCAATTATTCTCTAATCATGGAAAAGAGAGAAAAAAAGTGGACATATGTCTGAATGTCTATTTCGTACCTGAATAAATTGTTATTTAATTCTTTTTGAATTTCCTCTCAGAACTACAGTTAGTTTGGTTATTTACTATAGAAAATAAATCAGATACAAAAATATACCATTCATGTAGAAAGCTGCTCATCTATGAATTGGTTCAGTGTGTTTGAAAATCGTATATGATGAGATCTACATTCAAGAACAGCACAAGTATTAATTCATTTATTTCGATAAAAAATAATCAAACAAAATAATTCCAGATTATTTGACGTTGCGACCTCCTTCCTTCTTGTAAATCAGCATTGTCCATGTAATGTCTTAAGCACTTTAATTTTTTGGCAGTGCTGATTCTCTGGTAGGACGTGCTAAAAAATTATCCAAGTTTTGGATGAGATTCAGTGCTAAAGGTTTAGTTAGTCTGAATAACTTTAAAAAATGTTTATCTGATAACAGATCAAATGGATCTCCATTTTGAAAATTTGTCCAAAAATCTCTTCCTTGGTTTCCGGCCATTTCTTCAGCCATTTCAACAATGTCTTGTTGAACCAGAAGTATCAGCTCATCATGTTTAGATAGTTTGATAATATACTTTTTATATCATACCTAGTACAATGATAATTCCAACCTCAAACTGGACTAAAAATCCATTGGAATTTGAATTCGTGTGGAGAAACACTAAGTGAATATATACCCCTGAAATTCATAGGACCACTTTCCAGCGACAAATGTCGAGAAAACTAAATCATAATTCCTATGAGAATTTGATCACTTTTCCCATGGGAAAAACGTCGGGAATCGAGCTCGATGGGGAACTCCTGATGAGCGTATATACTAGTGGATTCCCGAACACGTGTTCTTGAATATAACTGCTTGCGAATTATGAAAATGACTTAGAGAAGAATAAAGAATGAAAACAAAACTTTAATATCCTGTGTCTTGGAAACGGAGCATATTTTGAATTTTCTCTCAATAATAATGAAGTACCCCAAATATACGAATAACTTACAGTACTTCCGCTTCTTAAAAGAACTCCGGACAAATTCTTTCTTGATTCATAAAATGATAGCATGTTTCGACAGTAATGTAATGTTCCCTCCAAGAATTGGCCTATTCTGTTAATGGTTGTATCAACTCCGGTACCCAGTTTGAATATTTCGAATATATTATAATGATTAGATGAAATAGAAAAGGCAACATGCATATCCATGTCAGCTCTCAGTTCTACTCCACTGAATATATCTCTTATTTCTGTTCGATAGTCACTCTTGTTTCCATGATGTATGATCAACCACCTGTGAGTGAATCTGAATTTTCCTCGTTTGGAACTCTAGAAATAGGAATATTATTTGGTGTGAGATTCACAGAATCTTATTGAAATATTTTCAGAATATTCGAGCAATCAAACGAAAGTAGAATGAAATAAATAACTCGAAAAACTCACATTCACTAAGATCTCTTTGTACGCTTCACATGTCGTATCTAAGACATATCCAGGACTATTATCATTATATCCGTTGAGCCAATCGTTGTCTCCTTGGTATGATAAAAAAGTCGTCCTGATTGATAGGGTTCGAAAAACACGTTTTTGTAATCCAATTTGTTCTGAAATAGTTATTTTTTGAAATGCACTTTGGTCGTTGAAGATTTCAACATCGATATGATATCGCCAATCATGAATATTATATTACCAATTAATCACACATAATATAACTGAAAATGACGTATGAAATTTTCAATGAAATAAATGACATGAAATGAGATATGATCTAAGTAAAGATTCCGAATGGAGAATTTACCTGATTTTTTCCAGCAAACAAAAAATGAGCAGGATGTCAACCTGTGTTCTCTGAGAAAATATATTATAAGATCATAAGTGTTATTATTCAGACATCGTATGCCAACCAGTCCTAGAATGAGAATTAAACAGGGCTTCATCATGAAACGATGCAACGAACTATTGATATTATTTTATGGTTCACCTCAATTCAGAAACCTCTTTATGCATTCTCTTTGAAACGCCAATTACTAATGCACGAGGCGTTTTTTGAACATCTTAAAATACTGCTCGATGCTCTAACCAATCACAGAGTGTCCATAATCTATGGACCAGCAAAATATGTATCTCGTTAATATCAGACCCTATATCTAATATGTTCATTTGAGATGTGTTGGAGGAGAAGTGGGAGACAAAAATAATATCAGACCCTATATCTAATATGTTCATTTGAGATGTGTGGGAGCTACTTCCTCTTGGGTTTTTTTCCAAAGAAAGTTGGTGACGACGTTGCCAAAGGCACTGCTGACTGGAAATGTTTAAAAAAGAAACAGTTCAACTAGAAAACCAGAACCGTCAAGCAACAATTTCTGTTGTACCATCAGCTGCTTTCCTCATTACAAAGGCAATCTAGGAACCTCCACATGATAGGAAGAAGCGAAAAAATATAATACAGAATGGAAATATTTCTTCCGATGTATTGCTAGACAGATGAGGTCTGAATTAATGACAAAAAACTTGTCTGGGACTGTGAAGGGAGTCTTCAGAAATTCCCAATGAGTAAGGTGTACAATTGACGGTAAAATTCCACATGATTTCATACATAAAGTAAGAGATGGTTCTCTAGAAATACCGCATGAATATTTGATTGAAAGGAATAGTGGGAGGAAAGACCAGAGAAAACAATTGAATTTAACTCTATTTAATTGAGGGCAAGTGCCTACTCACTACAGTGTCTGCCTATACATCTATATTTATATCAGAGAAAGAATTATTGCACACATATAATTTGCAATCACTCTCTGACGAACACTAACAACATCATACAGTTATTATGGTTGATAGCTATGGAGGTACACGGAGTTGAACTGCTTTCTTCTGGAATATTTGTCTTCATTGTCCAATAATCTGAACCAAATCATCTCGACAGCTAGCGTGAGTAAAGAAGTGACCATGCCTGCTACAATTATCACGTATACCAAAGCTAGTTCCTTCATTCCTACTGCTACCACTCTGGCACTCAATACACACTCGGGTTTTCGGGGATTCCAAAATTTCTTCTCTCTGTCGAGTATTCCGCTAGACAACATCTTTGTCAAACTGAAAGTTCGTGAAGAGTTCAATTTCGATCAGTGGAACACCTATAGCTTTGTTGAATTCCGTTTCGAAATGCTTACCTGATTTTCATTAGTTCCGAGTACTGTGAATTTTTCTGGAGCATGAATCCCAAATAACCTGGAGTAACGAAATCAATCTGAGCCAAATCACAAATTATGTCATCTTCATAAGTCATGGCAATCAATGGATACGCCCTGATAGCGTCAGTATGATAAGCGAATCCCCCTTTTTTCACCAAAGCAATTCCATCCCTTGGTGAAAAATAATTCGGTTTTCCAGTTTCATACAATTTCGTGCTATTCAACCTGCGTACGGCGTCATCATCTTGCTGTTGCAGAATGTAAGTAATTGCGTAAGGGGTGAATTCTATCCCAGCCCTTAGATTACTTTCTACTAGCTCTTCAATTGTAGTGAAAGAGTAGGGCTTACTACTGAGTAAGGAAGATACCAGACTGGAAGTGTAGTAGTTGTAGAGCAGAATGGAGAGTACGAGGAGGTTGAGGAAGATTAACCTACCTCCGATTTGTTTTGGTAATATATGAGATCCTGGAATAGAAGGTAATAAACTTCTTATGCAAGAATAAGAATAGAAGACACGAACCTTGTTGGGCAAAAATTGAGATAGCTGTAACCACAACTGTGACAAAACTATATTTGACATTGTAATTGAAGAAGGTGTACTCTATCCAAAGAGCCATTTTGATGGCGAAGCACATTACTAACGCTATTGCTACTGCGGCATACCAGGTTTGTGTTGTGAATGGCTTCAACACACCTAGACCAGGTTTAGCGGTTCCTATAGTTCGGTAGAAAAAACAATTCCTAGAAATCGAAGTGGAATAATTATCATGTTCAGAAGTTATGCAGAAACATTGTAATCATTAATTATTGAACTGGGCAAGATGAATGATTCATGTTCTTATGTAGTAGAGCATATGATATGAGAAAGCGATTTGCTCACCTGAATTCAGTGTATGGTAAGACGAAATCGTAGTAATACACTCTGGCTGGTCTTAAGATTCCTCCAGCGCTATTGAAATCGACAGTATCATCAAACAATAATTTTCCGAATCCTGCATCATATCCGTTGGTAGTGTTGCCAAACCAAGCAGTGCTTAAAGTTGTGTTGTAACTGAAATAGTTGGCTTGCTTATTATGGCACATTTACTTTAGGTTTTGTTTAGATGTATGATAAATTGATATTCATCATATAGGGCGTGGAAAGAAAATTCTGAATTGAGAAAACCCAATCACGATAGGTCTGTAAAATAAAAAAATTCCATCGTTCAAGTTTGAACTCCTTGATTGGGAAAGAGCGATGCAAGAATTCGTCTACCAATCTGATCGCAATAAAATGCATTTTGAAACGTACCCCCGTATATCAGATTTATGGTTCATGATTTTGGGTTTAGCGACAACATTTCTGTTTTCCACCAAACAAATGCATTGATAATTGTGTGATAAGCATGTGAATTGTCCTTCTTCTTGTGATGTTTCTGTGTGAGAAGTTAAATCTTCCGATCTATTCCCAAATTCCCATATTCAAATCATTATTGGTCGCAATAAATAACGTGATACATTTCTGTCATGAAAAATATTCCACAAATTGCAATACTTTTTTTTTTCTACAAACGCTTAACAAAGTAGCCTTTGACGCACAAAGCACAAAGTTGACGTTTTCCCAGAAATGTCATTCTTTGACAGCATTTGCGTTCGTGAGCGGAAATACTGAAAAAACGCTCGCACATCTCTGTAAGCTATACTTATCTGTTCTTGAAAACCCCCAATTCTTTCATGATGGAAAATAGTGACAGTGAATCATCAAACACACCTCCTGATATAGCAGGAAGCGCATAAGAGTTTGAATCTCTTACCGGAAAAATCAAGGAAGAAATATAAATTACAATATGATAAATTGGTGCAACTCCGAGATGGTGAATATGTAAGCGAGAAAAATCCAAAACATTCACCGCTGAAGATATATACCAACAAATTTCTACAAGAAGCTCCCGATGAAGCATATCTGTTGAAATCGATGAATTATACTTTATATTTAAACTCTTTGTTGTCATCAGAAAGCCAATGTATCTTTATTTTAATGCATCAATAAGTAATGTTCAATTTGATTGCAGAGTTTATCGTACTATGGCTCAGAGGTCTGAAGCTCAGGTTGCCACGCAGGTGGTCCAGTTTCAATTCTCGGTAGGCCCGAATTTTTTTTTCTGGCTTGTCAGTTATTTCAATTTTTCTTTTTTTGTTTCCTTTGGACATATGGGATAATATTGATAAGAACTTTCTCAACTATTTCAATCGCTAATTCTTTCAGGGCAGTTATTTCCAAAAGCTGCGTTAGTAGAAAAAATCTTCTGTGTATTTCGAGCACAAAGTGTTATTGCCGCTCTCCAAAGATTACTGCGCTCCGCTCCGCATCGCGCGGTAACTTTCTTTGTCGAGCGGCAATCTATCACTTTGTGCTCTGAATACACAAATAGCTATTCATTTTCACAATGACACTATATCATTTTAGGTGACTTGAAGAGAAAGTTTTGAAAGTTCAAACAAAACAAATTGAAGGTATAGTAATATTCGAATATTGGAGATTTCATTTTGCAAAAATACTAGGCAAATAAGATGAATAAAATATAATTCCTACCTGAATGAAGCTGAAATTGCTCAGGTATAGGTTCCCTGAGAACTTATATGTTGTGGAATATATCGTGATATTGATATTATGATGATCTCCACTTACTGAAATTGGTGGATACCTATCAAGTTCCTATATATCTGAAAGTAAAACTTTCCCTGATTCCCAGTTTCGCTGGTTCGATAGTTGATTGCAAGATCCTCATCCGTGTCGAAAGAATAATCAACCTGGAAAAGTACGTATGATTTATTGTGGGTTATTCATATTGCTGATGAGCAATTGTGTGTTTTTGGCCTCAATTTTTTATAGCTGATGGAAGCTTAGCTTTATGGTTTCTTAGACCAAGGAATATGCCACAAATTTGAAGGATTCAATCACTATCTCGGAAACCAGTTTAGACAAATTCAGCAAGAAAAACATCGCCGTGGCACGCGGTCCGTTTAAACTTTTTGAAGGGAATATTTGAAGAAGAAAATATTTGAGTATCTCACATTAACATGGAAACATCAAATGTTGAATGATATTTCAAAAATAGCCTTTGCCATTCCCATCATAATCAATATATAAATTTATTGGTAATCTTGAAACCAATACCATGGGTAGATCGACATTGTACCTAAACGATGAATAGTACATGGGCTTAAACAAGATCATAGGTCTAAATGTGTGTATTTAGATCTATGAAAGAATATACCAACGAAATGCATTATATTATAGAATTAGGTACCTATAAATCAACAACTGGAGCGGAAAACATTATAGCTATACTACAAAAAACTCAATTCCTACCGTATTCGTGTTTCTGATCAAAACACCTGACATATTTTTTCTTGCTTCATAAAACGTTGCGTTTCCCATAAAACTGAATATTTTATTTCGGAAAATCCCTACTTCTCTGACTACAATGTCAACTTCGAGTCCTAACTTATAGACCTCGAATATTTGGTAATAGCCTGTTGAGTCAGGTATAGCAACCTTCATATTCATATCAGCCCTTAGTTTGATACCTATGAATAAGTCTTTTATTTTGCTCGGTATAATTGACTCATCATGGATCAGCAGCCAACTATATATGAACCTGAATTTCCCAGTAGCTGAACACTAAAAAAAATCATATTCTTATTGTCATGAATACAAAAGATTTTTGAGACATTTTTGTAGGTACATTTACGGAATCTAACTTTTTCACCTGCTCTAATATTGCTTTTGATTGCATGGAAGTTAGATCCAAAATATAACTGACTCTTCCATAAGCTTCATTGCTTGTTTTACAAATTCCTGAATCTTCAAGTGATGGAAACGCTGTTCGGATGGATAATCTAACGGTTACTAATTTTTGTAATTCATTCTTTTCTGAGAACACACAAAATAACGCAAGACAATTAAATATGTGTGATTGGAATTCTAATCGTAGAAAAATAGGCATAGGAACATTTCTTACACCAGTAATATTTCATGGCTTTTGTGTCAAAGCATTAAGTATTGCAAATATATCTAACTATTTTTTGATCGACTCAGAAATTGGTACCATATACTCACCACATTTACTTCTTGAAACCAAGAATATACATGCAGTTTGATTATTCTGTGCAAGAAATTCCAAAATCAAATCATTAGAAGCAGCCGTTTGTACTATAACAATTAATACATGGTAAATTCTCATCAAATTCATCTCGTATGTATATACTTGAAGGAATTGAACAGGATAGAATTGAAGCTCAAAATGCTTGAAACCATAATGATTTCGTATGGTCATAATATCAGGGAAATAACTTCAATGTTTCGATGTATACCCATAAAAACCGAATGGATTTTAATTGATTCATGAGATCTCCAATTATTTTGCCATCATATCCATAAAACGACATATCAGTACACTTGGTATGTATTAAGTTTTTTATTAAATTTGAAATATATGTTTTCCCATAACATTTATCGACGCTGAGTGTTCTTCAAAATATCAGAGATGCATAATGTAGCATTACATTTTTTCATACGACTACTACTTTTTATAATTATTATGTTGACCGTTCTGGTTAATTGTCTTTTCAGACTGGTTGATATATGATTCTTGGTACATAAAAATATTCACTGGACAATTATCATATTCTTCCTATTCCTTTTCTCCCGTATGAACCCATTTCTTTTGCTTTGTCTCAACCAGTTTTTCTGAGAAAATCAATATGAAGATTTGATTGGTATTGATTTTTTGAGGATCTTTTAATCATATTTCTCCAATTGTTTTTTTTTTCAAAGGTCAGGTTAGGTTAGTCAATGTGTATCAGCCATTTTCTTTATCTCACCATTTGAAATCTCGTTGCTGACAAAACTCACATGAGTGCAGTCGGCTTCGGCATATTTTTTGATGTTAACTATTGACTCAGTTTTGAAATACTACAAGCTTTTTCATAAGTTCGTTTTCTAAAACGCTTCAGACGAGGATTTTAAATAACGGCTACCCTGTATGAATTGATTCATTTCATATCTAGTCCATAAAAGAAGTTTCAAACAGAGCTGTCCATCAAAACATTGAATTATTCAACGTTATATTATCGAGGCACGAGTCCAACAAAATTGATGGAAGGCTATTAAATCTTTCTATGAATAATGCGATATCTGTTGCAGGACACACTGGTTTCGATAAACTCTTGAAAAGGTGTGGTAGGTAGTTGAAACTCAAAACGAGATTATGGTACCAGTTTTTCAAGGAAGTCGAATAAAAATCAAGTGCAAGGTTGTAACGACTGGTTTCATCGAGGAGAAACGTTGAACCCACCTGAAGGCGACTGAATTTAAGATCGCAGCGCCAAAGTTGCCGGTTGTGACTATATGAAAGTACATTGTTTTGAAATGGTTCATTTGCTTGTGTGTATAATTTCAATTTTTTTATTGTGATTTGAGCAAAGAATACTGTTTATTTGTGTACTCGAGGAAGCTTTTCAGCAGATATTGTTCCACAACCTATGAATTCATGAGATCCGTAAAATAAAAGTGCCCCAATTTGAGGTTACTCTGGTTCGCATTTAATTTCCATTCAGAAGTGAAATAAATATCACAAATCAAGAGGAGTGAACATGATGTTCACAAAGGTATTCACATAGGTAAATCTCTGGTAGTAGTCCATGCTCAAATTGAAGGTGATGAGATAATTAAGAGAACAAACTCAAAGTCTCGCTCCAAGTAAATTATAATCAAATCATATATGCTACATGTTTCGACTCCTAGGAGTCAGTCGTGCGATCTTTACCAAATTTGTATTGGTATGAATAATCAATAATATGACCAGTTCTTCAGAGACAAACATTATTTTAGACAGTGTTGTGCATTTTTATTGAAATGAATAGGTGTCATTTTTTTATTAAATAATATTAGGCATTTTTCCACAGGAAAACTGACCTCATAATAATATTCTTCATGGTTTCAAACCCACATTATGTGGATTCTCATAAAATGCTTATGAAGGGTTTCAGAAAAACAGGCACATCTAAACTGCATCTTTGCGTACGTAATAATTATTTACTCGGAAACGGTGAGTTCAACATGAAAAAGTATAACCCTTTTTTCCTTCCAAATTATGATTTTCCACCTACCGGAGCCATTAAACGTTCCAAAATTCGTAGTTGATTTGAAGTCACTATTTATGCGAGACTGGAATTGAAAAAAATGAAGCCAATCCTGTTAATTCGGAATTAGATGATTTTTTGCATATGGGGGTTTGGAAGCATAGAGAACAATAATATGGGGTTAGATTTTCTGTGAAAAAATGCCTAATATGATTTTATGGAGAATCGACCCCTTTTTATTTCAATAAAAACGCACGGCACTGTCCAAAATAATGTGCATTTTTGTAAAACTGATCATATTGATGGTTATCCATACCACACCAAATTTGGTTGACTAATAACTGAGATATAAAAGGGGGCCGTTTAAAGTGAGACACGCTGTATATTCCGGGCTTTTATGGGCCTAGGCGTGTTACTTTCATGCTACGGTTCATAAAATCCTATTTAACGCCCTTTATTCATAAATAACTATCATAACATTCAATTGTGTATTATCGAAAGTTAGTTGAACTAGAGAGGCACTAACAACTGTCACTGTCACTTTCGGAAACCACGTTGAAACATTGAGTAAAATCTCCAGAATTTGTCGATTAGCCAGTTATATCTTAATTCAATGATTTTCATTCTGAAAGTGCGATAAACACAATGCTGGATCTAATTTTTATTAACAGACGAAAAGTTTCGCGAGCTCATATCAGTCAACTCTGTATTATGCCATTTGACCATCCTGTATATTTTAGATAACTAATTCTCAAGATTTTCATGAGAAGTTGATTATTCATGATGTTGTGCTCGTCTCGTCATCTATACCGTGAAACATGTACTAAGGTTTGGTCGTCAATATTTTGCTACGTGAAATTGCAGAAAATTCGTGAAATTTTCCTACACTTCTGGTATCCTGTAGCAAGAGCTGAATAAGTGTAGGATGAGACAATGTTCCTGTGACAAGAGACAATTATCCCAATTGACTGAAATTCCATTCGAGAGAGATTTCTGAACGTATGAAAAACCATATGGAATTCTCAGAACAAATTCTATATCATTACATATTCCGACAGCGCAATATTATTCAAATCAGGATTCGAAGCGAATCTATAAGGTCAATTCGCATTTTTAAACCCTGTCACACATTCATAAATATGGCGAATTACTCAATACGCAATCCCCAAAATTCTAACTGCAATGTGCTGTTTCCGAAACGAAACTGAAGACGTTCTTCTTTTGAATACAAATCATAGCCAAATGCAGTCAAGACCAGCAGTATTGCTGCAAGATTTCATAACTCACAAGGTGATGTGAAGGGATCTACTGACTTAAATTGATTATATAAATTACTCGCATCAAATCACAATCATCAGTTCAAATTTGTTCAATCGGCAAAGCAATACAATAACCCAAATCAAAATGTCTCCTTTGGTAGGTATATCAAAGTTTCTAGATTTATTCATAACATTTTCTACTCATAGGTGTACACGACTCATACTCTGATTGATTTTTCAGATACTTACCATAGCTGTTGCAATTTCTTGCGTATTTGCTGATCCCAATCCAGACGCTGTAGTTGCTGCAGCACCAGTTACTGGCGCAGTTGTTGCTCCGTTAACAGCTGCTCCTTTGGTTGCAACGGCTCCCATAACAGCTAGAAGCTACCAAGTATTCGCTCGC